ACTGGTTCCGATCAGCTGTGGCTTTGTCTAGACAATGGTGTAAGACCTCCAAGGATGGACACCACAATGCCTCTGGGTAATCTGTCCCAGGACTGCACCACCCTCCCAGTGAAGAAATATTCCTAAAGTCCAGTTTGAAACTCAAAAGGTGCAGCTTGATGCTATCACCCACTGGTATATTATCTGCTGCTACTGAGATCGGTTGGTCCCTGTTATTTTTGTAACTCCCCTCAAGTGGTCGTAAACCCCTAGGCCTTCTCTTCCCAAGATTAAACAATCCCAACTCCCTCCATCTCTTCTCGTAGGCCATGCCCATCTTGATAGCCTTTAGCTGGACCCTATTTCCTCAACATCCTTTTTGAACCAGGGGACCTGAAGCTGGATATGGTATTGCTGATGTGGATGAGATCTCCAGTGTGGAGAACAGGGGGCTAACAACTTCCCTCAAACTGCTGCCCACCTTCTTCATATTGTGATGAGTGTGTTGTGGTGCTCATATTCAACACGGTCCATGTCCTTTCTAGCAGTGCCACTCCCACTTGGCTCCCATCCTGCAGCAGTACATTAGGTTTTTTGCTCTCCCAGGCACAGGACTCTGCAATTCTCCTTGCTGAACTTCCTCAAGTGTCTCTTGTCCCAGTGTCAGGCTTCTGTGTGTCCCTCTGAATTGAAGCTCTTCCATTTGACACATCAGCCATTCTCCCCTAGCTTATTAACATCCACAGTGAGGATGCACTTTGCTTCTTCATGAAGGTAGCTGATGATGCTACTGAACAATGTTAGTTCCAGTCTACTACTGGAGTCCAGTGGTCCAGCCAATTTTCACTTCATGTAACAGTCCAGTCTTCCAGCCCATACTGCCACAGCTTCTTTCCAAGAGGGCTGTACAGAGTTGAAAGTCTTCCTGAAGCCAAATAGTCTTATATCCACTGCCCTCCTACCATCCCCGTAACCAGGTATTTCATCACAAAAGGCAGTTTTGATCAGGCCAATTTGTGCTTCTTAAATCTTTGACCATTCTCTAGTACCTTCATGCTCTGTTTCATATTTGGAAGCAGACTCAAGAGGCTGTGGTTCCTGCACTTGCCTGGGACTTGAGACAAGGCTGACTGTACCATGTTCTCCATCTCAAAGACAGGCACAACACTGGTCCAGTCCCCAAGGACTTCCCTGAGTCACCATGATTTTTCCTAGCTGAAGGTTGCTATCGTGCTCATCCCCTTGGAGTGAATCCCATCCAGCCCTATGGATCTGTGTACATCCAGCCTCTCTGAGCAGTACTTGCTGCTGGCTGACCCCTATCCTCCCAAGCTGACGGGACACACATTGAGTTCTGGTGCAGGCAAAGAAGAGTACATCAGCCTTTTCCCATATTTCATGTCACTTGGTTATCTCACTTGATGGACCCACATTGTCCTCTATGGGCTGCCTCGTCTAGAGGCAGCTCATACTTGCAGCTCCCTAACAGACCCTCTGGATCTCCAGAGCTGAGTGTGGGAAGCCTATGGGCATGGGGCTCCTAGCCTTTAGAGAGGAGACAAGCCTGGGAGAAAAGGAGCTTCCAGGGTATCCTTGACAGTTGGCTGCACATCTGAAATCAGCAAATGGCAAATCTGCAAAGCCCTGAACAGCTCAGAGACACTGATGTGGGAAAGCTGGGACTCATTTGACTATACAACCAAAGAGCTGAGGACCAAGCAGACTTGAATCCCATGCATTATTGTAGCCCCACAGGGTAAACCCTCAGCTTTCTGAACTTCTTTCTGTGCCAATGGTGAACGTAACCTGCAAGACACGCTAAGAGGAGAATAGTCACCAGTCTGCTCATACCTCTAGTTATCTTCTCAGCAATTATCTTCTGAAGATACACCTCAATTAAGGCTGAAGTAATGGTTGCTTCTCTCCATCACTGTGCAGAGTAAGTGAAAATGTGCCAGATATTTCTGCTGTTCATGGTTCACAAATCCTTAACCCTTGTGCTGTCAGCCCTATGTGATCTTGGCAGCAGGTCCTGCCCATTCTCTACAGAAGAAAAGAAAGGAAAAAAAAATAAAAAGGATACTTTAGTGTGATCAAAGGGTGACTTAGCTTCCTCTTGAGGGGAAATGTAAGAAGTTAGTTTAAATGTCTATAAATGCTGTGTACAAATTCCCCTGCATGTTGGTGCTGCTCGTACAGAAGGGACTCTGTATGTCTCTGGCTGAGCGTCTCAGATTTGGGCTTATTAAAATGCATGTAAATCTTCAGCTGGATCTCAGAAGGAAGCTCTCAATAGCTAGGGCCTAACATCAGGGAACATATTTGCAGCAAGGCATTTATTAATGCAGTCAATTTAGCTCCATTTCCTGTTTGCAATGTATCCAACAAACAGACCCCAGTTGTTATTCCAAATGTGTTTATGATTGCATTTTATTTCAGGCCTGTTTTATTTGTACGTATTCCAGTTTAAGGAAGGTCACACGTACTCCCTTGTTTCAAGTATAACCGCTCACCCGCATGACGTCATGTTTTCCTGGATCACTGAAACCTTTGTGAACAACCAGTTGTTCCTCTCCCACGCAGGCACAAGCACAGTCCCAGACACATCTGTGGCATATTGACTGGTGGGTGTGAGCCAAACCCCTCAACACACAGCTCCCCTGACTCCTCTGCCGTGCTCAGAGAAACTTTCCAACCTGAAAGGTCTCCACTGGGAGAGCAACCTCCAGGGGAAGGCGCTCAGGTCTATCATGGCTATGACAGTTCATCACCTGCCTGGATGGAGAACACCTTCCACATCACCTGAAAGGCGGCAAGTCTTCCTAGCTTCTGGACCATGGCCAACTCCCAATTTCACCATGGGGTAAAAAGAGCAATGAAACATGTATCTATACGAGATCTTTTCAAAACGTCAGTAAGAACGTTGCATAAGATTAACAGCCTCAGGAATCTCAGACCTTTGCAGGAAAGGAAGCTCTCTTGGACCAATTTTTGTTCAGGCACCAGTCTGACTTCTCTGTCAACAGCTCTGCTTACTGGCACAGCTGAGGTGCCTTACTGCGAGACTGCTGCTTCAAGAAACAATCTGGTTTTGCTAAATTCCTTCTGCGAGTCCTCTAAACACAAGGTCCGAGATTTTTAATGGTGTAGGCATTGTTCTGTTTAGTGTTGCAAAACTTATATAAGACCTACCCAAATTTTATTTTCAGAAGTGACTGAGGTCCTCAGGAGCTTAAGGAGTTGGAGCAGGATTTTAAAAGCTGGTTGAGACATGATATGGTTTCATCTGAATAGGCAGGAAACAAAGCAAGACCTAACAGATGCCGTGGCAGTGACAAAGAAAGCTTATGAACTGCCTATCATTTTCCTTTACAACCACCAGAGTCTTCTAACACCTATCTTCAAGATCAATCCCAGGGCAAATGGAGAAAAAAAGTCCAAGATTTGAATAAATGTACAAAAGGAAAGGGCAACAGATGATAAATCATGAAGAACTAGTGCATTAGATGGTGTCAAATCCTTTCTGAGTAAATATTTTAGTCTGTTTTGCCAGGGAAACAGCTTATGTTATCACATTGTAAGTGTATCTGTGCCTCCTTCTTCTCTCACTTATTCATTTTAATCTAATTAAATAGAAGAAACCTTCCAAATAATTTAATAAAAATAGCCAAATAGAGAATACACTTTTTTGTGCTGCAATACAAACCCAACTCTTTTTAACAAGCAGAGGCCAAAAGGGAGAATTACACTTGTATATAATGCTCTCACTGTAGGAAAAGCTTGAGTAAGAGATAGAAAGTCCCTAGAACTCTGGCTTGGGAACAAGATCTACTTCGGGAACTGGCAAAATCAATCCTCAGCTGAAAGTCCTCCCTGATGCATGGACAACAGCTTGCTTTTGAAGGAGGCAAAAAGCAGTTTCAAGGTAAATTAGCATCAGGTCTTGTTCACCTTAACAAACCACATGCTATAAACCGTAGCAGGCAGCCAGCTGCTTCAGTTCACCCAGGCAGCTAGTAGCAACAAGCATATTTCTTGAGAAGGGGAGGTTCCTTGAGACATCAGCAGGGAATCAAAGCAGAGGGGAGTGACTCTGAGGACAGGGTAATGGAGAGTCAAGCTTGAGCTGACAGTAAAACTGAGAGCAAAAAAGGGTAGTAATAAAAAGGCAAGAGTGGAAACATCTAAAGTTGGAAATCAGTACAACTCATTCACAAGCACAAAAACGGAAGTCAACAAGTAACAGGAAAGAAGAAACAGAGAAGACCAGGGGGCAAAAGCACAAGACAACAAAGCCAAATCTGCAAATTGTCTGGAGGTACATAAAGGTGTGTGTGGGAGCAAAGCCAAAGGCTACTATTCGTCACTATTTCTTTCCCTATTCTTTGCTGCTTAGGAACTCACTTTTCTTCTCAGTTTCTACAGAAGCTTTCTCCTCCTGAATCAGAAGGCATTTCTTACCATCAGCTTTTCACAGGCTTCGTGCTGCTGCTTTGGAGGAAGGAGAAAACAGGACCCAATGGGAGGAAACTCCAGATCTTATCCAGAGATTAGCACAGGGAGCAGCTCTGACCATGCTTCTTCCCCATCTAAATATCCTCCCCTCCTACCCAAGGCCACCTTCTACACACACCTGAAATCACACTTTATATTTGACAATTACAAAGCACTTCACAGAATCTTATTTCCCTAAGTAATTAAACTGTTGCTACATTAAGCATTACCATAGAGTAGATTAGTTGCTTTTTCAAGAAATTTGTAATTTTCTGAAGCTGGAAATCCCCTTCCATACAGCAAGATAGATGGACAGTAGGGGAAACTAGAACATAACAAGCTTTGACTACCTGAAGCCCAGTTCAGGTAGAATTGAGGCTTTGATGGAAATCTTGAAGTTCTGTTTTCCAAAATAATGAAGACCAGACCCTCAGGAAAAACTGGAAATTACTTAGCAAATAAAAAAAAAAAAAAAATTTCCTTTAGGTAGTGCATGCATGTGATAGAGAGTAACCATTTGCAGCTGGTAGCTTGAAAGGGTGGCTTTATTTTGTTTCAGTACAGATTCAGTCCAGTTCACAGAGAACACATTAGTCAATAGGCATCTTCACTTTGTAGGAGAAATGGGCATGAACACATGAGCACTCAAGTCACCAGCCTTTTATAGCCAATTTATGCAACTTTTGCCTCAAAAGCATCAAGTATGGCACACAGGTTTCACTAGCATCCCATATAGGAGTACTGTAACATCATCTCTAGAAACACAGGAGAGGAGGATGTAAATCCCAAGAACTGTAAAACTATATATACACACACACACACACACACACACACACTCACTCTGCTTGGGAATGTAACTTTCAAAATCCTGGTTTTGACGTGAACTTGAACATTTGTTTTAAAAGAATATGCTCTTCCTTGAGGCACACATTCAAGTTCAAGCTATGGAGAGCAGTCTTCATTTTAAGCAGCCATTAAGAGCTGAGGACTTGGAGCAGCCAAAACTGTCTTAAAACCACATCTCCAGGTCTCTGTGAGCTGCAGTAACAGCTAATAGGAAGAAGGGTACATGAATCTCAGTAGAACAAGGCAGTCTCCCATGTTTAACCATTGTATTAGAACCTGAAATAGCAATGAAGGCAAGGATGTTAGCTAAATCAGTTCCTGTTAACCTACCAAACTTACCTTCCTTGTTGGACATAAGGCCTGGTAGGACTCATGAGGCTTTGGGTTTTTTAAAGCACAACATAGGACTCAAGACTCTAAAAGCTCACTTATTAACCCTACACATCCAAGTTACACCAGGTGGTCTAGCAAGACACTGTCGCTCTTCACAAAACCTCCATTACTTACATCAAAATTGATACACCCAGTACAGACTCTTCCTATTCGAGACAGAGGTTCTAACTTCAAGCAAAATAAAGCCAATAATCTCCTACAGTATTTATCTTCTATGTGGAAAAAAAAAAAATAAAACAAACCAAAAACAACCAACCAAACAACAACATAAAAACCCCACAACACAACAAAACAAACAAAACAAAACAACCAAACAAAACAAATTCTCTTTCTGGGCGGGATTAAAGGCTGACTTCTTTTAAAGCATGTTGGCTGCAAGTGTGACAAAACCCCAGTATCCTCCACAGAAAACAGAGAATGAGAGGACAGAAAAGGGACAATGAAAGGTACTTTCAGCCTGAAGCATGTTTCAAGTAGTTTAGGTTTTCAAAGTAATTTTAAAAGTTTTGTGCACTCAACTTGCTTCTGAATACCCCACTATTTTTCTGACCTTTCCACCTAATTACTTTTCTCTCCTCTCAAAAAGCAACAGAAAATGAGAAAACAGATCACAGAATGAAAGCAGTGAGTTAGCACATACTGTCAAGTACAGAAAGTATTCTATAAGCCACCAAATTTAAGAGCAAAATGGCAACTTTCATTTTTCTTCCACTTAGAGTCATCACATTTTGAAATGTTTAAAAAAAAATGTCCACAGTTCATGCCCAAGCTCCTCAAAGTTTTAAACACAGCATCTTACAACTGAGAGAACAGTTTGTCTTTCTATTTGTAAACCAGAGTTTGAAATATCTTACAATATACTTTTAATATAATTTTTCCAAAGAAACAGCATTTAGGAACTGAAAGAACAGTGTGCCATTAAATGTTAAGGACCATATTTTTATAAACCTTTATTAAAAAAAGGTTATATAGGTATGATGAATTTAAGTTGTATTTTAAAGTCAACTACTTAAGCATCCTAATGATTGAAAATGAAGTGCAAAAATTGAAAGTCCATTCACAGATGAGGCTGCAGAGTTGTGCTCAACATAGAAGAGGTCTACCCATGGCAGGCACAGCTGCACACTCACAAGCTAACTCAGCCTGTCTCAGCTATGAATCCTGCAGATCTGAGCAACACCGCTGATTAGGTGAGTTTGATCTACTTAATATAAACCCTCCCTTTCTAATAAGAAGGATATTAACTAAAGCTTTCAGTTAAGCAATAAACTTTTCTAATTAGCAACAAAAAATAAAAATGACATGCTTGCTCTGTTTCAGGCACTTTCAAGATCATAGTTTATTTACTGTAGGTAAAAAGCTAGTATACAGGTTAAGGGATCCCTTGAATTTCAACTCTACAGGTATACACCATCTATTATTCTTGCTCTGAATATTAACCAAAAAAGTTTTTAAACACCTGTAAGCCCCACTATAAATCTGCATTTTTATGAGGAAAAAAATAAAATCAATGCTTAATTTTTTTAATACATAATATTTACACTGTGAAACCAATGGAAGATAACAAGCAGTGGCAAAGAGGCAATAAATTTTTTAAAGCCAGAGTTTTATATTTTTTTTACAATAGTGTGCTAATCAGCATAGTTGTATATAAAAAATAAAAATATAGCAGAGCGTCCCATTACAGCAATCTTAATCATCTGCACCGCAGTCATTACTTGCTAACTGTTTACATGCAACACCTGCTACAACTTTTTGTTTTTAAAGTGTAAAATCCATCATGAGGTTTAAGAGACAAACATTAATTTGTGTACAAAATTAAAAACTGCACTCCAGAATTGTACTTGACAAGAGCCTCTTCCATACAGGAGGCAGGGAAAGAAGGTACAAACAATGATACAAAAGTGGTCTCTTTCCATATACTAATTATCAAAGGCAATGCATAGACTGAGAATACCCAGATGGCAAACTCTGTAGACACTGGAAACAAACAGCTTTCAAATACATGCTCTTTACATGAGGCCTTTTCTTCCATCGAATGGCAATGACTGACAGCAAATAAGGGGCATCAGGTGTACAACTAAGTAGTTCTTGCAAAATACTAAGAAGGGGCAGTTGTTAATATACAATTTGAACTATATATACATTATAATGGAATGTATCCCATCCCAAAACTGGTTTATGAAACAACTGGACCTTTCTATACTAGCCTTGTGACTCAGCTATTGTTCTAATGAAAATATAAGTACACAAGAGACTTGCATGAGAAGTAAAATTTATGGGGCATTTTACAGGAACTATTGACAAAGCTGCTTAATGGAATTTCTGCTTTTAAAGTAACTTTGTTAGATATAATTGAAACAACATCTGTGTATAAAATGTCCTGACAGACACTTCAACATGGAGCTTTGGTGATTTAAAAAGGCCCTTTTTGATCTGTTATGAATTGTACTGCAGAAGTATTGATGCATGCACACATCTGTGTCAGCTGAGACTAGTGATCCAACTGCATGCACATTTCATCCTTGAGGTGCTTTCTATGTTAAACCACTTTAATAACAATAATATGAAAAATAGATTAAACAAAGTCTTTCAGGTAACTCAAACTGAATAGGAAATGGAATGCCAATATGGCAGTAAAACCTTTTTCTGTTGTTGTTAAACAGGAAAGTCTCTTGTACCAGCAGAAACCTGTATACATTTACACAGAGAAGGAGGGAATACACCACTTATAATTCCCATTAAACAAGAGCCGATTCATCATGTGAGAAGGTACAAATTACAGAAAACATGAATAGTCAATAGAAGAGAAACAACTGGTTTACATGAAAGAAGAGAGAACACTTCAGTCTGAATGCAGCTATTTTGTGAACGCTGCTACAACAGCCCAAAGAACCTCATTCGTGTTGGCTTTCATACATTCAACCTCAGGGTCTAAATCCAGAAGCTGCCGCACTCTTTTTGTGGCTAAATCATACTGCTCATCCAAAAGGGGGGCGAAAGCGTTCTCCAAAACATCTGAAGCATGGGCTAAATAAACGAGTGCCAGCAAGCGCTTGTCCATGCGGTGAGGGTCATTCACCCATTTATCAAGAACTGCTTCTTGAACCTTCCTGATGAGGCGCTGCTTAATATTGTTGTTGGTGAGAGGGTGCGTAGTCATGTCAAAAAGAAGGAAGTTCTGTTTCTCCGTTGTCAGTACACCTTTTTCCACTAGATTTTTAGCTAATCTTTCACGGACATTCCGTAGTTGGTAGTGCAACTTCAGTGGGTTCCATGTTTCACCTAAAAAAGAAAGCAAAAAGTCCAACAGTCAGGCAAAGTTTAAACTGTACTATTACAGCGGATTTCTCTTCCTCCCCTGTGGTGCAGAATGAGCTGTCAAATTCACATAGCTGACTATTACACTAAGATACTGTGCTAGTGTCAGCATTCCTCTGATCTCTGACCTACCCAGATATAGGCGTAAACAGAGACCACGAGAGCCTCCCTGGAAGAACTTCAGTGTATATTTAAAGTTTGGATGAAATGCTAGCTAAGCCATGTCTTGATTAAGGATATGACAAATAAGCAGTTTTGTACTGAGCTAAAAAAAAAAAAAAATCAAAACCCAAAGTAGTCGTGAAGAAAGAGTTTACTTTTAATAATAAAAATAAGCATCTTGTGCATTTGTCTGTTTCGAGGCTTTTACCATTTCAGAGACTGTAAGAAGTATCATTGACTTTCTTTCTACCACAGAGACAAACTAATGCACACCTACCCTGTGCATTTCTCCATTTCTTCAGGTTTTCATTCTTTTCTGTCTTCCTGCCACCACCAGGTAGAACAGTGACCATGCACATGAGTGTGTGTGGGGGGTGTGTATACACATGAACACGTTAGGCAGGGGCTTTAATGTGTCTATAAAAATTATTTCTAATGCTTTTTGTTAAGTGAGGAAAATAGGGCCCTTCAGAGTGTGACTGTCTCTGCATAGAGGAAAGAATTTAAAAAGCACAAAATCAGCATGAACAGCTACTGTTAAAGCTAAAACTGTTAAGCTCTGAGAAATCTACTTTTGTTTAAGAGCTTATTTAACAAGCTGAAAGTATTAGGTCTAACCTACCTAAGTGTTTATCATAAGTATTAAAATCCCCCTTCCTGATATAAAACTCTGTGCATTTTAAGAGGTGAGAGAAGAAACAGCATTACCTATTTCTTACATAGATAGGAGTTTTCTGTAAATGATACAGAAATTCTCATATCAATTTGTTTATATATCAGAAAGCTTTTAAAAATTGGTTAACATACAATAAAATAATAACAACAACCAGCACCACCACCACAAATGACTTTAAGGCTTCTTCCACTGTGATGGAAGGTGACATACACCGTATCCAAGAACCAAGTTAATTAAACAAATGAGGTGACACCAACTGCATTGTGAAAGGCAGAGAACCCACCCAACCCTGAACTACGCAAGTCCCTACAGGAAAGCAATTCCCCAGCTTGACCATGAATGAAACTATCACACACACTCAAAGTAGTTTCCTTACAGCGTTTTACAGGGCAAAGACTATTTTCTAATTTTTCAACATTTGTTAGGTGAATATGGCTATGTGGTAATAAAAATCAGTACTGTGGTGACACCTTGTGACCAATCTCCTCAATTACACAGACACTTGCCCAAACAGACGGATACAGGAAGACCTGACATTTTGATCCAAACTTCTGTATTTCTTATACTTGCTTCCCTTAGAGGCTGTCTTATAAACAACATAAGCCTGGCAAACATCACCTTACACATCCATATAATATTTCCATGATGGCTTTGAACTCATATATACTGTAACTTCAAGCAGCATTCTTCACATTGCTGATAATTATGCATAGAGTAGCTATTTTCCAGGATTAGGCCCTAGAGCAAAATTCTGGAAGAGTTTATCAGAAAACACCCCAAACAAAACACCAAAATATTTTTATTCAAAGGGCAGTCCTCTAAACCATTGGAAACACAAAGAACCCTAATGCCATCCACAAACTAGTAATTAACAACCACATGAAAGTGAAAATGATTGGTCCAAGTCTCAGCCACAGCACTGATGATAATAACTATCTTTCCAGAGCCAAAGCTCAGCAGGGTCAGAAAAACCTTCGCTTAGCTCAGAGAAAATCCACAACATTGTTCATTCATTAGATGACCTTTTTTCAATCCATACTAACTTGATGTGCTCCGCATTGGGAGAAAAGGTGAAATGTCAGCAGAAATTATGTATTTGGGACACGAAAAATGAATTGTTTTTGTGGGCTGTAAAAGTGAAGGAGAGCTGAGCAAGAATTGAACTGCAAGTCTGTGCAGCAGCCATGCCCCCTACTGACTAGGGATGCTTTGTTCCCCTGTCTCCCTGCTCTGCCCCACAGTCACTGACCAAGAGGGGAGGGACTGCAAGGACAGGGGATGAACTGATGTGCAAGGAAGGCTGTTTAAGGTGGTACAGGACAAATAACAAGAATATAATGAAAACCAGAAGGTGAGAAAGGTGTAGAAATATTGCTCATTTTTAGAACTCTTACTTACTGGTTGCTTCGAGTAACAGATTTAGACAGAAAACTTCAAGTCTTATTACCCCCTACTTCCCAGAGGCATGTTGTTAACAAAACAGTGGGGTTTTTTCCTGCACTGTTTGCACAACTGAAGTACAGCTCTGATCTACTTCAAGGAAGCTGCATTTTACATGTTTTGTAAAAACAGACAAACCCTGGTGATGAATTCTGGCTACAGAAAAAAAAGAACCAACCGACAAAACAATAAAAGCACTACATGTTATAAGATGGTCATTGATAATTTCAGTTTAATTTATGCATCCTGAGGATACAACTGTCAGCAGGGTATATGAAAAATGTTAACTGCAACTATAAAGATGAAATCTAATAGACATTTTCTTTTTTTTTGCAGCAATTTACCAGCTTTACAGGAAGAGCTGTGCGCAAAGTACTCATCTTGAAGACTTTGTTTTGAACAACAAGAAGTATCTAACATTTGAAAATATTTATTGCATTTCTCCAGTTAATGGAAAAATAGAACTCCTGACTCTTATTTTCATGATTAATGGCCAAATCATCCTCAATTTTTACATCTGAGTGGTGAGCTCATCTCCTTTCTTTATCAAAAGATATGAATACTGCATCCATACACTTATACTCTAAACTTCCACTAACCCTCACTTCCAATTACAGAAAAAGGCAGTTACATCTCTAGGGTTCAGTCCTGATTTATTTCACCATCAGTGGAAGGTGCCTCCTCCACATAGTTGAGATGTCTTCTGACACTTCCATATAGATCCTTTCTGTATCAAGTTAAGTCAAAAGCAACAGTTACTTATATTTGATTAAAGGCTAGAATCAACAAGAGACTACATTAGAGAACAGTCTAATTAACTTTTTTGCATACCTTCTCCCCCAAAATCTTACAGTATAATCTCTAGTGATGCTAGATAATTAGCTTTATTGGGGGGGAAAAAAAAAAAAAAAGCAAATATATTATGTCAAAGGCTTACCACTAAGCAGCTCAATCCAATTTTGTACTGTTTCAGGAGGCTGGGTCTCTTTTATGTGTTTCAGAGCTTCATCAAGCAGAACATCCCCTGTAGGAGCATCTGACTTGCAAATCACCTAGAATAGAATAAAACGCAGTAGTATTTTGACTGAATTCATATATCACAAACATCCACCAATAAGAACTGGAAAAGTCTACCTGTTTTCAAAACCAAATAAATTTTTTAAAAATAAGAAACCATACGGATTAAACTAGCCCAAATCAAATATGTTTGAATAAAAACAGTATAACAACAATAACATCTATCTTTCTTTATGAAAAGAAGAACTATTACTGTTTCAAAGCTATTTATGAAAATAACAACTAAATCTGGCAATTTAAATAGCTTAACAAGTTAGCACTTTATAAGCATCAGGTAGAAAAGATAATGGGCAACTGACAGCAAAACTAACACATCAACACAATTCCACATATACAAGAGAAGCAGCAAATGAAAGCTTTTATTTTTTGTGATGCTCCACAGCAGTCAGAAAGGTGTCCTGGGAAAGCTTTAAGTGTTCTATTGAAATACATCCCACATTTAGTTCTGTTCCATAGTTCTAGTAATCCTTACTACAAACAACAGAAGAGTACAACACATTTTCATAGGGTCTGTAGATGACACTGAAATGAGTTGCAATGGTAAGACAGTTTCAATACCAGCAAGATGATCCCAAAATGGAGATGTGTACAAAGTTCATAAGATTAAATGAAAAGAAAAATTGCTGGAGAGATCTCTGTGAATACCTAACAGGCCATAGCTGGTACACTATTTTCAATTTATATATTTATAAAGAACAGAAATTAGGATTTTTAACAAAAATCATCAAGAATGAACCAATCCACACTGCCAGGCTAAAAAGAACAAAGTTTGTTTAGATCTGAAAAGAAAACATGTAAGCTATTTTTACAAAGAGGGTATCAAACGGTAGTTTAGGGTGCCTACTTTGGGCAAAATAAGATACCAGATTATTGTAGAAATATGGAATATATGGGATGTATTGTGAAAAACTTCAACAGGCAAATTAAACACCCAGGGATCTGCTAATCTGCATTCTGTGAAGAATTTTAAAACTAAACATCTGCCAGGGAAGAAACAGAGAAACCTCATTATCTGTTACTGCATCAAGATTAAATGATCTCTTGAGATACAGTCCAGGTACCCATTTTGGGGAGGTAAAGATCACTCCAATCATAAACCTCAGATATTTGGTTTTAAGAATACAGCTACATATTATTCCAGAAAAACCCTATTTGAGACTAGACACACAACAATGCATAAATCTTTCTGATTTACAAGCTTGCACCACAGCATCACTCAAAACCTCTATTAAACACATAAAATGACGCTACATATCTTCCAAATTTATATCAAGATTCTGAATTTTTGAAAGTTTCTGTTCTTTAATTATACAGGGTCATACTTCAAGTTGGGTTTTTAAGCTGCTAGATTGCGGCTATTAATAACCATCTTTCAGATATTCCTCTAATAATTAGCCTAAAAAAACCCAACCAACTTATCTTTACTTCTCTTCAAAAATGATGTTCTAGCAGTATTTTAGTTTCTTTGAAGTGTCCCATATGATTAGTTTCACAGTAACCCTAGTTGCACTGTATCACTCCATCCTGCTGCAGTTCGTAACCTACCACTCATCATCTCATTTTAACAGGTAAAATGTGACCTGTTTTATCATTAAAAAAATAAACAAACAAAACAAACCTCAATGAAGCAATAAAAAATGCTTTTAAGTCTATGATATATGTAAGTGTTTTGGTGTTTTTTTAAGTTTAGAAAACAGCTTTCTTTGCTTATTTGGGGTCAAAATACTATTTTCTACAACTCCAAAGAAGTTTAAAAAGCTAGCATGAATAAGATGTACCACAACAGTACAGGCCTAAACTTACAGGCATTTAGAGGAAAGAGCATAAGGAGCATAGACTCCCACATTCAACTCAGGACTCCATGAGCTCTTGTGAAGCCACAATGCACAGCAATTTTATTCACAAGTTTACCATGCTCTGCTGCCAGGGAAACAGCACCATTTCTTCTCACTTCTTTGCTACACTGAATATTCACTGCACAGATTCTTCCAATTATCCTTCCCCTCAAACAAAGGTATTTTGGTTCATAGTTCTATGGTACTCCTCTTCCCATCCCATTCCCAGCATGTGGAGACAAGCAACAGCAGAAGCCCAGCCACCTCTCTTGTACCTTCATGGATCTGCTCTTTCTTGAAGGATTTAACGATGAATGCTTCTTGGCTAACTCTCTTCAGTCATAACAGCCCAAGAAGAGTGGGATATTGGATGGATTGGGGATCTTGTAAATTGAATAACCACAGAAGATTAAGCATCCACAAGGGAGAACCTTTTTTCTCTCTCTTTGACAAGAGGATCTAAAGTAGAGAAAGAAGCTAAGATCCTGGTTCTTCAGAGATTATGATCCTTAGTCTTATTGCAAAAAAATCTTTCTTTATTCCAATTTTTCAGTGATTTATCTAGTACTAGATTTGCCTTGTATCCAACTGCTGATGAAAGTTCAATTATAAAGAATATTTAATTTGCATTTTCCACAATTCAGCTTTGTAATCAAGCAATGCTGAAGATTAAACACATCTTGCATTGATTTTTATGTAAACTTCACTATTTAGTTTTAATATAAAAATTCATTCATGCACAAATCAGAGTTGTCAGCTACAAAATACTGAAGTTAATCCACCACAGATCTGTTGGGTTTTCTTTTGTTTTTAAGAATTCTAATGATTTGGTTTGCTCACTGAGGCTGTAAGGCTATTTTCTATCTTCAATAACCACTGGTCTTAGACGTTACTTTATTTCTATGTAAACCTCAACACTAATTTATTTGTTTCTAAAATTGATACCAATAGATAGAACTCCAAAATGATGGAATGATTAAATACTCTTAAGGCAAATTTAGGAGATTGTTGTGACAAAGTATGTCATACTGACTATCAAAGTTTCACTAACATCCATCAAGTCCTTGTCTGTCAGTTTCTCAGTCTCATTTGCCTCTTTGTGGCATTGAAGCATTTAAAAAAAAAAAAGCACTAAACATACAAAAAAACAGAAAACAAACCACCACAGAGGAGAGCATAATTTTGCTTGTATTCTTTACTGAAGATAAGCACAGGTTATTTTTCCACTTTACTAAATAAACCCCCATATTTAAAATTTCAGGTAGACAGAGCTGACAAGGTTTGCACAGAATGAAAATAACTGCTTCAAACATTCCTGAATGCCTAAGGAGCCAAAAGCTTTGGAGGAAAAAAAAAAATGTGCAAACTAATCAATACTGAATATACTTAAATGAAGCTAAAAGAAGTAGTAGCTGTTAGTCTGAACAGAGGTTTGATTCTTCAGAAGAGGAGGAAGCTGGGAGAAGGCTAGGGAATTTGTAAGCTTTCCTTCAAAAAATTTAGCAAAAGATAATATTGACATGGAAATGTGCCATAAAAGAGAATTTATCTGTTGTGGACAGACAATATTTGGCCGTGTTTTCAATTAGCTTATTTTACAAGTATCCTCTAATGCTGCTGAAGTAAAAAATTTTCAAACGGTGTGACTCTGCACATTTTATACAGAGGAAAAATCCAGGGCAAAAGTAATAAATCAAGTCCTCAAATATTCACCCTTCTTCAGTAAAGGTCCTTAAAAACTTGACCATCTTACAGAAGTCAGGGTCACATGCTTAAACTAGATACAGTTTTGGGTCCTCAGGGGCCCAACCAAAGTGCGAGGTTTGTCTCCTTCCCATGCACCTCAAGGACAGATTGCAACATGGTGCACACCAGAATTAAACCCCTGGCTTGCAGGATCCATCTGGCAGGCTGTCAGTTAGCCATTCCTCTCACACTCAGCAACACTGCAAAAGCCAGTTCCTTCAGCAGATTACAACTGGTGTTACTGGCTCTCAGCAGTAACTGCTGCCACCGCACCTTGGCCAGAGCCACTGCCAACTGTTTGTGCAAGGCTCCCAACAGCAGCAGGAACATGTCAAGAGAACAAACAGGAGCAGAGACCAAGTATAGAAGATTTTCCAAGGCACTTCCACTTGGCATTTAAATACTTTAGCTGTACATCAAACTTTGGCCACTACTCAGAATACCATCCTTGTGTGTCCTGGTTTCAGCTGGGATAGAGTTAATTTTCCTCCTAGTAGATGGTACAGTGCTGTGTTTTGGATTCAGTGTGAGAATAATGTTGGTAACACACTGATGGTTTAGTAGTTATTAAGTAGTGCTTATCCTAAGTTAAGGGTATTCCAGTTTTCCAAGCTCTGCCAGCAAGCAGGTGCACAAGAAGCTGGGGGGAGCACGGCCAGGACAGTTAACCTGAACTAGCCAGAGGGATATCCTGTATCACAGAATGTCATGCTCAGTATAGAAACTGGAGGGAGTTGGCCAGGAGCGGGGGGAACACTGCTCAGGCAGTGGTCAGTGGTGGTGAGCATTGTGCATCACTTGTCTTTTCTTGGGTTTTATTTCTCTCTCTTTTTATTATATTCATTTTCGTTGTTGTTGTTCTTGTTGTTGTTCTTGTTGTTATATTTAATTATTATTGTTATTATATTTTATTTTAGCTATTAAACTGTTCTTAACCCAGGAGTTTTACTTTTTTTTCAATTCTCCTTTCCATCCCACTTGGGGTAGGGGGTGTGGGGGGAGTAAGCGAGTGGCTGCATGGTGCTTAGCTGCTGGCTGGGGTTAAACCATGACACCATGTAAAGAAAAGAAAAAAGATTTTTTTCTCACAACCAGTTGTAATTAATAGCTACTGTATTGCCTGAAGCATGACACAAAAATAAATGTGATCATTTTCCTCCACTTACCTTTCTTGTTAATAGACTTTTGCGCCTCATTCCACAAGCCTCTAGCTGAAGACGCCCTCGCAATGCCAATTCGATTAACATACAGCCACGCAATCCTGAGGAGATGCAATCATTCCAGAACGATGTGTAACCCTGTGAAGAATGAAAGACAGTAAGGTATCTCCATCTCCACCTGAAAGCAAAGAGAAAAAGAGGCTTACTGCATTCTCTAAGCAGTTCTCCTGCCTTCATACACTTTTGAAGTAGCATCACTAGTCAACTACCATTCTTGTACTGAAAACACGAAAGAGAAACAAACTCATCCCCTATTAGTTTTGACATTCAGTCTCTGCTCTTTGAAGAACAGGAAAACCTCATGAAAGTGATACAAAATGAAACAGTGAGTTATTAAGAACTGTGAGATATAAAGTGTATTTTAGACATAGTGAAAATAAACTTACTACATTTTTAAGACACCAAGCTTTTGGCATTACTGACACCACACAGGTTTATCTGAGTTCCCTGAGAAATATTAACATGATTTCCATCCATAAACAATATGGCACTGATAAAGTAGTAACAACTTGAAAACGGATACTAAGTAAAATATGGAGTATACTGGAAACACAAATGTAGCAATCAGCACAATCGAAAAAACTATTTTTTTAGTAGGAATACAGTAAACCAAAAGAGAAAAGTTATCTAGTAAATATTTGGAACAGCTACTATTTTGTCACTTAAATACTTTGAAAACATGTACTTTTAAAGTTTGATGCATATTGTTCTTATACAGACCACAAAACTGCAAAACACATTTATTCTATGAACCATACCACATCTATCATGCTTTCTCATCTACATTTCTGCATTGATAGCTGTCTGCTTAAAGGGCAGAACAGAGCATTTGACCCAATACATTTGCTCAATATCTAGAAATACATGTATGGACTTTTGTACTTCACTGCTTGAAAATTATGTTCCAAAAAATCTTATAAAAAGGATCCTGTTTTACCTACAGAGTAGCCAACATAGATAATTAAATATTTAAAAATATGCAAGAACAAAACCAAACCAAAATAACTGAGAAATGTTTTATCTTTTGAGAAATGATTGCAGAAATACTTGGTGTGATCCAGAAAGATCTTCCAAAACTCCTCTAGTGATGTATCTCTGAAAACATCCACTTTGGGATACTTCAGAGAAAAGTGCTGCAAACAAGAAAAAAAAAAGAGAGCACTCCCTTTCATAAGATGTATCTTAACCAGTAACAAAGACTAGCTTAAATCAAGAGCAATTAAATTTTATCAGATTCACAGATAAAAGCTGACAATGCACACAGATACAGGACACGCATATCTGAAGTCCACTAAACTTACAAACCAGTTCCTAACTACTGTATGCCATTAAACAGAGATTTCCAGGAACATGATATTTGTTTCCATTTAGCACTGAGCTATTTTCAAGATCTGTATTGCATAGTTATACAGATGACCAATACTTTTGAAAACTCTACAAAAGCTCTGAATCTCTAGAAAGTAATTACTGAAATATGTCACATATTTAAAAGGCCATAAATACAAGGTTGGAAGACATTTGAGAAGTTATCTAATCAGTCTTCCTACTCACCAAGCATCAGCTCCTCTCATAGATCAGACATTCTGTAAATAAAGATTTCAGTTGTCACCAGACATCTCTTTGCCAAAAAAACATGCAAGATGGGGTGCAGTATTTGCTTGATAGAGGAAAACAAACAAACAAGCAAACAACAAACCAAAACAAGATGACTCCTACAGTCTACTATTTCCAATCTAGTCCCTTCACATAATAATATTTTTAATCTGACAACACATATGCAAACTAAAAATCTATTGCACAAACTTATAGCTGTGGTATGATAAACTTCTTTCTATTCACAAAAGTCTTATCAAACAATTAAAGTGCTAATTTTCCCCCCCCCTTGTTTAGTAATGAAAATGGAATTTGTTTTTAAAGTGACTGTTTTTCAATGAAGAGATGTTAACTACACCACTCCTGGCAGCAGTTACAGATGTAAACTCCTCTGCTTCAGTGCTGTTCAAAATATACAGCCACAGGCTGTGGGTTGCAGAGAAATACAGAATCACAGGATAATTCAGGTTGGAATGGACCATGGGAGCTTTCTAGTCCAACCATCTGCTGAAAGTAGGTTCAGCTACGAAGTCATGTCAAGTTGCTCAGGGTTCTATTTAGACAAGTCTTGAAAACCTCCAAGAACAGAGACTGCACAACTCTCCAACAGTTTTTAATCAAGTGATCCTGAAAGGCGGCTCAAAAAAAATATATTCTTCATAAAAGGAACTGCTTGCTCTAGTGGGTTAGACGGCATTAAAGTCATGATATTGTATACTGTGTCACCACCCTCTGCCCTCCGGGTTCTGAGTTTGCAAGTGATCCACTAGAGAAGAAACATCGTATTTCAATAAACGGAGATTATACTGCTATTAACAGAGTGAGGAAGGAGATATTTTAGAACAGTTGGTGTCATCCTGAACATTTTTCAAACCATTAAACTGATCCTTCCAGGTAGTTAAGGCAGATGGGTTTTGGCACTTACTGCAAAGACCTCAGACAACTGAAGGAACCCTCACAGGTCAGATTAGTACACAATAGTTTAACTTAATCATCCTTTAAATTAACTCAAACTTCTTGGTATAACTGAAAATGAGTGGAAGCAGACATTTATCTTTGATATTGCAAACAGCTTCCTGACACCTACTTTACATGGCATGCAGCAAAGAGAAACAATAATGCTCAGCACTATAGAGCTATTGCCTATCAAAGAGGCTACAGATGGACTACATCTGTGCACAGATGTACTACAGATGGCTACAGTGAAGAAAAGAGAAGTGAAAGGGGTAGAGAGAATGAAATAACATATGAAGAGGGAGCACAGAAATACAGAATAATGTACTATTTGGACAGGAAATGATTTTTTTTGTTTTCCACAGACAAGGACTAATAAGTGGTAAATTAAGCTAGCTCGCAGGTTGGAAAAGTCAAAGGCCAACTTCTTTTCTTTGTTTCTATTCAACTGTTTTTACTGGAAGGCCAAAGTTTTAAAAAAATTCCCTTAAAAAGTTAAATTAATTTGAGTTTGATAATGAAGTCTGACAGACAGCAATGGATCTATAAACCACACATGGCCTGGGAAGCTCCCACCCAGCTGAAGTCAGTGTACGCTGGAGGAGTTGTGATGCTGTGCACTCCCGTTCCCTGAGCATGACCTGGCCATTGATTGTTACAAGTTATGGAACAAGAGAAGGATTCTGTTTGCCCTTTTAACACTGCTCTCACTGTTATTCCAAACTCCTAACAGTCTCAAAATGCTTAGACTGAAGATCAAATACCACTATTTATAGGTGCAAGACATTCCACTATTTAATGCTTTTAAGCAGCACTAGTATACTCGCAAATACAACACCAAGTATTTTTACTCTATCCTTCTTCCTACAAGTCTTCTATAATTTTATAAACGTCATAACACTGTGAAATACTTATTTCATTAAAGTTGCTAAGAAGCAGGGGAAAAAGAAAAAAAAAAAAAAGTCTTACAAGGCAGAGAATTATTTTTATCTGACAGCAATCACGCTAGAATAGCACTTTAAGATATGAATATCTTGCATGACAAAATTTTAAATCTACATTGATTCAAAGATCAAAAGAATGTTTATAACTGTCATGTTTATATAAACAAAGCAAAAAAGCATTTTTTGTCAGAGCTGACCTAGAAATGTTCAGGTAAAAACTCATGTTGCTAGACAAGCATAAAGGGAAATTAGTTTATAACAGAAACTTGTTATGATATTAACTTTGAAATCTCAGACTTTCCACCCAGGTATGGTAAAGCACAGAGCTGAAACTAAGTTCTTCTTTCTGTCTAAAGAGTAAGTTATCTAAAATGCATGTTCATTAGGCCATTTCTCTCCCACCACCTCCTGCAGCATTTATTCACTTTCTCCTCTTCCCATGCCCCTTATTCTATTTCCAGCTTACATAGGTCTTCCTGGTCAGTTAGCTATTATCCACTTGAAACTCTCACTCATTAAACAGTCCACCTCCTAAGAAGGGCCCTGTGCCTTGCTGTCACCCAACCTACCTGTCTTCGCTTAAATCCAGTCAGCAGCCAAATACCCAGCAGCCACTCACTGCCCCCAGGGGATGAGGGAGGGAATTGGGAGGGGTAAAGGGAGATTCATAGGTTGAGATAAAAACAGTTTAATAATTGTAATAAAACAGTAACACTAATAGAAGGTACAAATGAGTAATGCACAGTTTGATTGCTCGCCATCTGCTCACTGACACCCAGCCTATTCCCGGCCAGTGATCCCAAAATACCAAAATCCTGCAGTCGCAATCCCAGAAGCAAGAGGGAACCCTCTCCTTCACAACCACCTCTCCTTTATATACTGAGCATGACGTTACAAGATATGGAATATTTCACTGGCCAGTTTGGGTCTGGTGCTCTGGCCATGCTCCCTCCCAGCTTCTCATGCACCTGCACACGGGCAGGACGTGGGGAGCTGAAGAGTCCTTGATCTCTCAGCAACAGCCGAAAACATCAGTGTGTTATCAGCATTCTTCTCATACCCAATTCCATACCTATTCCAGCCACTAAGAAGAAAAATTAACTATCCCAGCCAAAACCAGGACACTACTTTATCTTTCAGTCCCTGCTTTTATGTTGCCTCTTTACCTGCACTTCCCTGTCATCGAACTGGGACACCCCCTCTCCTACAGTGGCCCCCTTCCCCACCTAATCTTACAGTGACAGGTAATACATTAATTTACGACTTCAGGTTTACAAAGATTTGAATTTCTGTGACCCTCATGGATTTTCTTAGATCTCTGTTCACACAGATGATACAGACAAGACAGCAAAGTATTTACACTATATATGGTGAGCAGCCATCTTATTCTTGTCTCTGCTGCAAGAAAGGGACAAAGTCACATGATATATTAGCAGACGTACGAACAAGTAATCCTTACTGACACACTAGGTCTAGCTCTGCTGAGCAAAGAGCAAAGTACAAGCTCTTGCAGCTTCTTCCTACTTACTGTAGGAATACCCCAGCTCAGATCTGCATGCAGAAGTGTAAACATATACTAAGGCCCAG